TTTGACCAAAGTAGGTCTTAAAGCAAAAGAAAATAAAAAAACAAACGGTGGGAGGCTGGGGAGTTTCAAAGGAGGAATAATATGTAATATATAAAATATTTAATATTTAATATATATATATATATATATACAAAAGTATGGTGTGTGGATGAAACCACCGCACCGAATAAATAAAATATTATATAATATTATAAAAAAAGTAAAAGAAAATAAAGAATGGATCTAAAATAATTTGGCAAAAAAAACAAGTGTAAGGTTGAAATTAAAGTTTACATTCCATCTTTTCACTGAGAATTTTGTGAGATAGTATATTTTTATTTTCATCAACGGATAATCAAAAGAAAGTGCCCAAGTCTTAAAGCCGGTCAAAATGGGGTGTCTACACCCACCATAAAAGTAAGCTGTCGATTGAACCTAGTAAAGCCCCTTGAAAATCCCACCACCTTAACATAGTATTCCACAATCTCCAACCAAGCAAAGGGGCAAAACAACAGTAAATGGTTCACTGACTCATTGTCATTCTTACAAAAAGCACAAAGCGTTGATACGTTACCTTGAAGAACACCAATCCTTTAGAGGTAAACCATTGTCTTGACTATGTTTTATCGGGATAAACAACAGAAGAATTAAACTTTAGGAGGAAGATACTTGATCCACACAAGTTTACTGGTTAAGAGAAGAGGGCCAATAGTATCTTCAATACATTTGTAAGCAGAGGACATAGAAAACACACTCGAGGTCGACTCAGCCCAAGATAGTCTATCAGACTGATCTGCACCGATGCTAGGAGTAGCCAAAAAAAGATTAGTGAGCCCAGTGACCTCCCAAAATTCCCAATCATACAGCCTTCTTCTGAAGTTAAAGATCCAATTACCTTATCCATCTTTTTTCTCATACATTGATCTCAATGATTCATCTTTGTCAATAGCCAATATATATAGGGAAGTCACCCTTCAAACACACATTCAAACACCATTTGTTTTTCCAAAATTTATTTCTAACTCCATTCCCAACTTTTATTCATAGATTACTTAAAGAGAACTCCAACAGACTGCTTCTGATTTTTGTAATGGAGATAATTCTTTTCCGCACCCTGGAAAGATTAGTGCTTGGACTAAATGATGGAATCCAGCTGCCCAAAACCAAATTATATTTGTTGCAAATGACCCTTCTCCACAAAGCCTATTTTTCAACTCCAAATATCCACCACCACTTGATTAATATACTCTCATTTACCACTCTTACGCTCTTGATGCCAAGGCCTCCTTGCTCCATCTTTTTTGTAGTTTCATCCCACCTCACCATATGGAGTTTTCTCTTGAATTCAGACCCACTCCATAGAAATGTGGCCTGTAGTTTGTCAAATTCTCTAGCTACCCTCACTAGCATCTTAAAAAGATAAGTAATACACAAGCAAAAAGGAGGTTAAGCCTTGATTAGAGTAAGCATACCTGCAAATGAAAGCAGCTTTCTCTTCAGCTAGCCTACTTCTAACCTTGCCTAGAATTGGTTTCCAAGTTGCTTTCCTATTTGGATTAACTCCCAGAGGCAAGCTCCAAAATTGAATAGGCAAGTGTTTGGTCTTACAACTTAACTTATCTGCAAATGTAGCAAGATCATCATTAGGCACACCCATTCTACATACCAGACTTTTGTGGTAATTAATTCTCAAACCCGAGATCAGTTCAAAGCATCTTAAGAACCTCTTTAAATTACACATTTCAACCTCTTCTACTTCACAAAAAAGAAAAGAAAAGTAATGAGTCATCTACAAATTGAAGATGAGACAAAACCACACCATTGGCTCCAATTGTCACCCTTTTAATGAGACTAGACTAATGAGCTCTGGATAAAATAATTCTAAGGCCTTCTGTTGCTAAATTGAACAAAAAAAATAGGACAAAGGATCCCCTTGCCTCAGGCCTTTTTGTGGACTAAACTCCTCAGTTGGAGATCCATTAACAAGGACTGATAACCTAGCTGATGATACACACTCATCAATCCAACTAGTCCATTTTTCCCCAAAACTAAAGTTCAAAAACATAGATTTAAGATAGAGCCAATTCACAGAGTCAAATGCTTTTCCAAAATCAAGCTTGATTAATATACCTTTCTTCTTAGCTTTCTTCCAACCATCTACCATCTCATTTGCAATAAGCAATCCATCTAAAATATTTCTTCCTCCTATAAATGCTTATTGAGACTCACTGAGACTCACTGATAATATAAGGCAAAACAACCTTCAATTCGCTAGCCAACACCTTAGCCAAGATTTTGTAAGATGATCCAACAAGGCTAATGGGCCTATAATCTCCAAGTCCCACTGGAATTTTTTTTTTTTTTTTTTTTGGGTGTAAGTGAAATGAATGAGCTATTTAAATCCTTCACCAATATACCATTCATGTGAAATTAAAGGTTGATGGGTCTATAATCTCCAAGTTCCACTGGATTATCTTTTTTGGGGTATAAGTGAAATGAATGAGCTATTTAAATCCTTCACCAATTTACCATTCATGTAAAATTCCTTGAAAAGGTTGAACACTTTCCTCTTCATCAATTTCCAGAATTTTCAGAAGTAGATCAAATTAAATCCATCAAGCCCTGGGGCCTTATTACCATCACAATCTCTGATTGGAGCTTTGATTTTTGCTACTAAAAATTCTGCCTCTAAATGTCCACAGTAAGGGATGCTCTAAATTGGCATGAATGGCCCTCCTAGCTTAGGTCTATTAGCCCAATCCTCAGAGAAATGCTTCCTAAAATGCTCAAAGACCTCTTTCTTGATTTGATTGGGCTCTTCAAACAACACACCTTCAACTGTGATGGAGAAAAGTTCATTTCTACGTTGCCTACTTCTGGTCATCACATGAAAAAAAAAACTTGGTATTTCTATCCCCTTTCATGTTCCAATTGAGGCTTGACTTTTGTAGCCAAATCCATTCCACCATCCTACTCAGTCTCCAGACTTGTTATGTTACTGATCTTCTTCTTAATATTTCATTATCAACCAGGTCTCTAGTCTCAGCAATAAGATCTAAGTTACGAAGTTCCTCCTCAATTGCTTTCAACTTGAAATTAACATTCCTAAATACCTATTTGCTCGAGCTCATTAAAGCAAGCTTCAATGTCTTCAATTTGGTTTGGAGAATAAAACCAGCTCGACCCTAAGCTTCTAATTCCTTCCAAGTCTTCTCAATAAAAGATGGAAAATTGAAATGCAAGACCCAAGCATTCAAAAATTTGAAAGGCTTAGGACCCCAATCCCTATCATCCTCCATCAACAATAAAGGGCAATGATCATAAATGAGCCTTAGCAATCCCCATTATTTTAATTTGAACCCCTTTATCCATTTTGGATCTTCTAGCACTCTATCAATTCTGCTCCACCTTGCACCTTCTGCTGAGTTACACCAAGTAAACTTCCTTCCAAGTAATGGCAAATCATTTACTTCACATTTGTCAATAAATTCATTCAACTCCTTCATGCCCATGTCTCTCCTAGAGCAGCCTTTTCTTTCGCTAATAGTTTTTATATAATTATCTTTTTTATCATCTTTAATTAACAGAGCTAGGTATGAAAGTGCAATAACTGACTTGTTTATCAAGACATTTACCTCTTTACCAACGAGCAAGGAAGAATTTCCAAAGAATGAAATAAATGTTTGCATCAATGAATGCTAGGCTCCAACAAATAGAAACTAAGTTTGCGATATCGAGGCGGTTGCTAACAATCGCCTCAAAAATATTGGTGAATAGTCATCGATTATGGTTTTACCACAAGATGTCATAGAGCCAACACAAAGAGATGTACAAGAGATCAAGACAATTGTCTTGAAAATGACCCAAAGGGCAATTTTTTTTTTTTCATCGGCAAAAGTTAATTATTAGATTAGCACCAATGAGAGTAACCCTCCCCACCCTTGAAAAACAGCAAGTGTTTGTCTCCTAATTTAACCCCTTAGGGAGAGTTGAACACATAACCTCTCCCTTAACACTAAACCCTTAAGAGAATCATGATAATCAATTAGACTAGGCCTAATTGGTTCCCAAAGGACAACTTGTTACAATCAATCTCTAGGTGAAATATTAATCAAGGAAGTGAATCTCAAAAAAATATATAGTTTGATTCTCTTGATGTTGAACTTATTGGAGGAGGATACATGCTGATATTGTCTTCTCAAAAAGCATTCTCGAACTAAGAAAAAATAGAGAAATGCTTCCTTTCTCTCCATTCCTAACAACCTATCGATAAAAGTACACAATTTGCAAATATGAATAGGGAGCTTACCTTTACACTACCAAAAAGCATTCTTGAACCAAGAAAAAAAGTAGAGATGTGCTTCCTTTCTCTCCATTCCTAACAACCTATCCATAAAAGTACACAACCTACAAATATGAATAGGGAGCTTACATTTTACACTACAAAAGATCAAGAATAAAAAAAAATTGCTTAGAACCATTTTCTAAAATTTTATTCAAAATTCGAACGTGTATACAATATCCATTCTACCTAATAATCCTATTTGTTAGAGTTTTTTTTTTAAATTAAAAGTTAATAATCAAAAAACATGAGTTAAAAACACCCCTTCCCCCAACTTTCAAATAATTAATTTTTTCAACTTATTTAAATTATTTCTGCCAAAAAATCATATAAACAGAAATTATACTAAATAATTTAACAAAAATTCCTAAATTAAAATAAACTATAATAAACTCTTTTAAGCTGTAACAAGCAACCTCGTAGCCCATAATACACTAACTTTAAATCTACAACATACACTTCACTTTCATTGTAAATTATGAATACTTTTTCATGGTTTCTAGAATTATTCATTCTAGCTTCGCTTGAGAGATTGAGCTTGGACAGATTTGGACAAAACTTAATTGATAAGCCATCACCTTGACCAAACCTGCTTGAATTACAACTCTAAATTTTTGTCATTTTTTTAAATATATATATATATATATATATTTAATTCAGTGCTTGACGTAGAAAAACATGAAGAGCAGAATCTGATGCGAAATAATTTCTTAAAATTCCATCTACATCGCATATGTAAGAAGAGTCAGCTAGCTTAGCTTGAACATAACTTTGGGTCCGACGATTCAATGCTGAAAGAGTTTCGACAACAGACCGGGCCTAATAAGCTTAAACTGCAATCCATAACAGGCTAGTCCCATTCTTTGTTGAAAGCTTTTTGATGATGAAAGAACAATTGAGCAATTGTACTCGTACAAAACCCAACCAAAAATAACAAAACTAGTACTAATCACACCCCCTTTGTTGAATATCTGAGCAATAACATTCACACTCCACTTCTAACCATTTGCACTGCTATTAGTACATCTTATGCGTCACCATTAACAAGCAAACATTAATATCAACAGTTTTAGGTAAATCTCATTCCGGTACTTTTCACTAGGCAACAATCACCATGCTAATATAATCAATGAAGCAAAACCCATGTCCTATCTAGTGTTTTCCTGCAAAGTCTACGCAAACCCAGTCATTCCAACAGTAGAGTTTGACCGATTGGTTTTCTGAGCTGCCTGAGTTGTAGTAGCCTTGGTGAAATACATGTAGAAATATACATTGAGGATCATTGTTGCGACCACAAACACTGCTCCTGCAATAAAAACACCTTTCCGTAATGTTTCACAGGAGAAGTCGTGTGCGTAGATTATGTCACGGTACTTGGTGTGATATGCATTCTTCTTTGCACCTGCAATAAGACAAGCTTCTGCTACCAGAAAAGTCACCCTGCAGATGTGAAAAGGATAGCAAGATCGAAAGTTGGAAAAACATTAAACTTGGGAATTGGAGTAGATAATGTCGAATATTATTCATTTGTACAATCAAAAGCATATAATGAAAGCCAGTATAAAATCTCTAGAAATTGTTCTATATCACAACTATCACCCAGTTGCCAATGAGCATGCTTAACCGTGTTACCTGGAATGAGAAAGTGGTATACGCCATGTGCTCTAAAATATGATACAATAAAAGTAGAATTGTATAGATTACATTATAAGAATTCAAAATACTACTAGAATAATTTCCTTTTAACAATTAGACATTCAATTAAATGTAGGTTTTCTTTCTCCCAGTGTTCTGAAAAGCGCGCCTAGGCGCAAGGTGCAGCGCGGCGCGAGGTATGCGCCTGAACAAGACCCAGGTGAGGTGCTTTGAGGAAGTCGCACCTCAAAACACAACTTGAACCAGGTGAGAGAGGCGCAAGGCTCGAGCCTAGGCGCACTTGATTGTTTAATTCCTTATTCTAATCTAACGGCTGTGATGTGTGTTCGAATGGCTCCAACCACAGAGGATTACAACTCATATACAATACAACCCAAATACGACTCAAATGAAATCCCTAATCCGTGTCGTCTCTTCCTCTCTCGACTTCGACTGAACTGCTGGACTTCGACTTCGACATTTCAAGTCAGTCAGTGCTTCGACTTCTTCTTCTTCTTCTTTTTCTTCTTCTCCTTCTCTTCTGGCTAGCTGTGTGAGTCAAGTCTCTCTCTCTCTTTCTCTCGAGTTGAGTCGAGTCTCTCTCTCTCTCACTCGTTCTGTTTTCTGCATCATCTCTCTCTCTCTCTCTCTCGTTGGTTCTTTCTCTATTTCTGTATCAGTCCACTCTGACTGTAATGCATATATATATATATATATCTTGTTTCTGTATACAAACAAATATCTCTATATTTGTACGTATCTATCTAGATTCTAGACTTTCAAAGGTAATATTAATATATATATATATATATATATTTTTTGATGGACTTTAATTTATTATTATTATTGTTAATATTCTATTCTTTTTCTTTTTTTTTTTTACTCTTTTTATGTTATATTTAATTAATTTTGTATTTTATAAAAATAACAAAATTCAAAACTCAAAAGGCTTACGCCTCAATGCCTCGCCTTGTGCTTTTGCCCTTAAAAACATTGATTAGTATTTGTTGTATATTTATGTTTTGGATGTTTAGTGTTTATTTATTTTTTTATTTTTGTTAAATGTGGATTATTTTACCTTTGAAAATTGAAATGCTATGTAATATATACTTTTATGGCTTTGAGAATTATTCTATAGTTTACCTCAGTTATTTATTTATTTATTTTTAAATTGTCTTAGTGCTAACATCCTATGAATCATTAGTCTATATTAATTTATCTATTTTTTATTAAGATTGTGCGCCTTAATTTCAATAAAGCCCACGTCTCTCCTTGTGCCTAGGCCCCAAGAGACCTTTGGCTCCTCAGTGCGCCTTGAGCCTTTAAAAACACTGCTTTCTCCAAATCTATCATGTAGCAATACATTTCCAGAGCATTATGATCCATTTTTTATGTTCTATTTTGTCGAAACTTTATTCACCTTAGATTTTAGTTTATTATATTTAAATTTTTTTACTCCAAAGGAATCTCTAGGAAATATATTGAAAAAATAAAAAAATAAAATAAAATAAAATTTGGGATCGTCTTAGATCAGTAAATTTACCATTTTCCAATGAAAATATACTATATTTAAGAATGTGAGATTCGAAACGTAATTCACTAGGACATTGGTGTTTTCTTCTAGTAACATTGATGCTTAAACATATCCATGCCATGAATATGTATCTATATATGCTCAAACTGATCGCAATTGGTTGGGCAGGTGAAATGATTTTGAAAAGAGCCCTCCCCAGCAAACAAAACATAAATACTGATAAGGAAATGGAATTTTTAAGTTTAATTAACAAAAAGAAAAAATTGTATATTTTTAAAATCAAACTACTTGACCGTCATAGAAATTTTTATAGTGATGAGATTGTGTACTAGTGATTCATAACATGGTGCAGTGGAAGGATACTCATAGAACAGAAGAATCTCACCATGATGATACAAAATAGATAATGGTCCAAGCACGATCACTACCAGGCGCTAAAGGTCTTCCAAAACACATGCACTTTGTCACACCCATCAGCAGTGATTCACTTGAGAGAAGAAACAAGAAAGCACCGACCCCATATCCAGTCGCAACATCTGAGCTGTAAACACAGTATGTAGCATTGGAAACCTCATCTTTGTGTAAGGTTCCCTGTCATGAAGAACAGGTACTTTTAATGCAACAAATAAGCATAAAAAATAATGCACAGTTTATTAAAGTAAGAAAAATGATATACAGACCCACTTTCTAGACCCATTTTGTAGACCCAATGATGTGTAAAAAATATGATTGGCTAATGATTAGAGAAGATATGAGAGAGAGAGTTGCATTAGATATTCTAATTGATTGCCACATCAGAGTTTGAAAAGTAGGTCTAGTTTTTGGGCCTAAATAACACTACTCTTAAGGTAATATATTCTAACACAAATTCCACCAATGTCAAACAAAACTCAAATCATGACAACCCACCAGAGTGCTGCATGATTGCAGTTAAACAATTATAGCTTTTGGTTGATTTGTACAGCATGACACGCCAAATTCGCAATGTGCCCGAAAGGCACAACAATGGACAAAACGATTCTAGCTTATCATTAGTCCAAAGACTTTGCAAAGATGAGCATGTGCCAAACTACAGCTCTTTCCTTCAAAGGTTTCTTTTGTTTTTCCTACTTGATTTAAGGGACATTGGGGTCCTGGGAGGGAATGTATTCTTTTTTTGCAAGACATGCCAATCTATGTTGCAGGGACTCTGCCATTTCCTCCGAAGTACCCATGTCCACTGGATATGATATGACAATAGTAAGAGTGTGGATCTGCTACCTGTACCAAATTTAGACACTTAGATCCTCTAATTTGAAAAAAATACTCCATGCCCCATTTGGCATTGCCCCAAAGCCATCCAAGCCATCCATTTGTGCGCATAAGTGGATGGCTTGGATTACTTTGTGGCATGGCCACGTCAATGCCCCATGGGCAATGAATAATTGCTCTAATTTTTTACAGTGTTCGAAAAACAAGAATCACATTTGCAAGTAAAGAAAAGTATCTAGCCTCTCACATGGATGACAAAGACATTCCATATTTTCTCTAAATTTAATTTAATTCTAGTACATTTTTATAAAATTTGCGACACCTTATCTAAGAATATTATAATATGCAATATATAAGTATCCATGACGCATCCCCATGTACCAGTATCTAACTTTGAAACGTGTCCCAATATCTTTAAGATTTAGGTTCAGGAAGGGTCTCAACACTTGAATACACACCTGCACCTAGTAGTCGTACCCGAGTCCATGTAACATAGATACCAAAAGGCCGGTTGAATGCACTAAAAGATACACACCATTGCAATCACAAGAGAAAAGGCATAATCAGTACCTAAAACTTTGCAAACTACAATGTTAATGATATCAGTGATGGTTTCCAAGAAACAAGTCAGGACTGCAAGTGTAGATTGATGGTAACCCAACCCAAGCCTAACTGCATTGGGACCAACCTCAAATCAATCTTACTCAAATTCAACTCAGGTTTGGGGACTCCATCCCAAACCTTTTCATCAAAGCAATCATACATGTCCAGTTCAATTAAAACAGGCTGCAATTGACAGAATACATGATTACCCGATTAAATTGATAAATTTCATGTAGTTTGTATGAATGTTAGTGTCTGAAAAATATTCAAAAAGAAGAAATTACGGGAAGAAAGAAGGAAAACACACACAGACACACAACAACTCCCATTGACAACAAAATTAGAGGAACATGTCAAAACTAATGCATCATCTGAACTTGACTATGGTTCAAGAAAATGTCTCTTAATCCCAACCCAAGAAAAGGATGCTGAAAGTTGCAGACTGACAAATTAACCCAATGAAATATGCACGTTTCCAATTATTATGTATGATTATGGTATATCAATAGAAAGAGTCAACAAAGAAGAAGAAATAATAGAAGGAAAATATTTTCACTTATATGACAAAATTAGGACATGTCTCAACTAAAAGCATGACTGGAACACAACTTAAATTTATGTGTTGAAGCCAAAAATTATTTGAGCCAATATTGACAAAACCCCAAGCTCGTCCCACTAGCTGTAGCCTGTAGCTAAGCAAGGTTGATTTATAAACCCTTATGTGGCCATTGTTTTATGGAAATATTTTCCATAAAGCAAAGTTGATGATGACTTTGACAATTAGATTTCTCCAATATAATTTCTAATTTCTGATATCCTTTCATTTTTAATTGACCAAATTATTGCGGTCAACAAAGAGGTACAACCTCATGATATAGCAAAAATCATCCACGGGACATCATTGTTCAAATTTTACGCAAGTCATTGTTAGTTTATATATATATACTGAAACATAAAACCACATAATCAAATGCTTCTACAAATCCTTTCTAGAACTAAACTCCTAGCCTCTGAACCATGCAAATCAGTAGCTAAAACCCCAACGAAACTACTGTCTAGGTCCCAATGACAAGGCCAGGAGTTTTAAAAAAATATGAGCAAAGACAAATGAGTTTTCTTTTGATAAAACAAAGAATCATGGTAAAAGAAAAGAGAGAAAGATGCAAAAACCGAAAACTACACACAAAGCACATAACCGTGGTTTAAAATCAACCATTACATAAAAGGTTTTAAGGAACTATAACGCTCTGTAATGCCCACTACTATACTGTGACACTCCATAGGTTAGGACAATAACAGTGGTTACTATGCCTGTGAATTTTCTACAACAGAACCTGGCCTTGTGGCTTCATTGTACCCAATGCTGGAGAAGCAGCTCCAGATCTACTAATTTTATGTTCTAGAGCACAATAACCAAAACTAGTAGGGCTCTGTTTGGTTTGATTTTAAGAAACGGTTTTCTAAATTTTTTTTTGACAAAAATAGAAATTAGTTTGACAAAAATAAACACTAAAAAATATTTTAAAATTTTTAAAAATTATTTCTACTCCCCAAAAAGATAAAATTATATAAAAATGATGACTATTTTTTATTTTTTCATTTTTTTGTCAAATTAATTTTTAAATCTTGAGAAACAATTTCCAAAAAAGATGGTGACAACTAAACCAAACAGAGACTTAAATTCTGGCCCATTTTTCAACATTTTGAGATAATGACATAGTTATATTGATTTTTGCTAAACTTCATCTTTTTCAGCTTAGAGACACAAATGTCTTCATGACTCACACTCTAAGTTTGATTAATTAGATGTGGTTATTTTATTAATATTTATGGAGGATTAAGAATTTATTTTTATCAGTGTTTGTTGAGTGTTAAGACTTTCTTTCTCTATTAATTCAATATCAAAGTTTCAAGTTTTTTTAAATATTATTTCTGACTATTTCTAGCTTTGTTTTCATTTAAATATTATTTCTGACTATTTCTAGCTTTGTTTTCATTTAAAATGCATGTTCAATTTTTAATGGTAATCTAACCTTTGTATAATAATAATAATATTTATCATTTTGTTTTAACTATTCTATGAACAATATATTGATTTATATATTTTAGTTCTTCCTTCCTAGTTTTTTGGATTCAAGTTCTTTCCTAGAAAACTGAGCATAACCTTTTAAATAGTTGTCTATCTATGTAATGTAATGCAATGTACCGTAACCAAATCAAATCAAACCAAATCAAGTCTTAAGTCCTATCAAATGGAGTCAGCTACATGAATCCTTCTTATCCACTCAACTCTATCCAAGGCCATTTTGTTAGTCAAATTAAGGAGATTTATATCTCTATTTACTACACTAGTCCACATCAATCTAAATCTACCCCTTCCCCTAACATTACCATCTACCGTCACTGTATGACATCTCTTCACTATTGCCTCTGTTGGTCTTCGTTGCATATGACCGAACCATCTCAATCTATTATCTCTCAACTTATCTTCTATTGGTACTACTCTTATCCATTCTCAAACATACTCATTGCTAACTCAGTCTTTTCTAATCTTGCCACACTAGTGGTAACCCGTGCTATGCACGGAACTTTATAAATTTAAAGAAAAAATCATTATAATTATCTTAAAGTAATTTAATATTTTATCTTGCGGTATACATGAAATTTATAAGTTAGCTTTTATGTTTATAACTTTTTAAATTATTAATTTAAAAAAATTAAAATATATATATAAATATATTTAGTGCAATTTTGGTAATTTGTATTAAAAAAAAGTTAAACCTGATTAAATGAGATTAACTGAGTTATGACATACCTCTTCTTGTTATAAAAATATACAAATTTAAAAGTTACAATTAAAACAAATATATAATTTTATTATTAAATATGAAGTGAAGTGATATTTAACAATAATTAATATAATGTTTCTATTATTAATCCAATAATTTAAGCTACATTTATTTTGATTTCAATTTTATAACTAAAAATATAATGCAAATATAATACACACACGGATTTCTAGTCTTTATGAATAAGAAGGTTTCAAAATATTTTCAAACTTTCATCATTTTCTTTTAATTTTTTTATCTAATTTGATTTTAAATTTGAATAATCAGTTTTGTTTGATGGACATAAACAATTGATGTTTCAATTTAAAAAATTAAAAAGTTAAAAAACAAATAGATTGGGTTTTTTAGATATGAAATAAACCATCTAACTTTTCTATATACTATTAAGATGAACTATTTTAATCACATAAAAAAATATAAATTATATTTAAATATTATCCCTATATATTATGCTATTATATACAACTATAGTTGTAACAAATTAACTATAATATATATGAAAAGTTATATTAAGTTTTCATTTTCAATTAATTGAATTATAATTAACAAACTAACAAATAGCAGTAACGGTAATGGGATAGAAAGATAATAAAAATAAAGAACACAGTGATATTTAAAAGTTTTAAATTTACCTAGTTATACAAAAATCTTGAATTCTCAATAAATTTTCACATTTTTTATAAAATAAAATGATAAAAAGCATAAAAAATTTGATACCCATTTTTTCAACTTCAATTTTATGGTCTCTGAAGAAAATAAAATTCAATCAAAATCCTTGGCATGGAACGGACATAAATACTTCGATTGCAACAATAATCACTAATAATTCTTTTTTGCAATGCAAACTTGTAAACAAACACATAAATCTCACTAAAACCAAAATCAAAA